AGTCTATCTAAAGCAATACCCTCAGAGTTCAAAGCTAAAAAAAATAACCAAGCTATAATTCCTAGACAGGAAAACAAGAATTTTGACATTGATGCTATTCCTTTCAAAGACCTCACTGCCAATGTCAAAACCAAAGCTCGCAGACCCACGACTTACTTCCTAATTGATGCAAGTGAGCATTTTCCTTCTCGTTTTTCTGACAAAACACCTCTGAGAAAAGGCACCATAAATGGTAATGATGACATCATAATTCTCTCTGGAAGTTCTGACTTTGGAAATAAATAGTTGAGTATCCCATTTTTCCAGACATAAAACCCATAGTTGACAGTAGGACATTCACAACTGATACTGCTAATCATGCTATCAAAAATAGTTTTAACTTGCTCAGGAAAAACAAATCATCCACCATTTATAAAACATTTACACCCAAAGGAACAGACACTATCCACATGATTTGGCTGAAGATGAAACAGGTATAGCTGTGGTGTCTGGTTCAATGTTTAGTAATTTTCCTTTAGTTCAGCTTTCCAGTGATGACATTTCCAACATGGATGAAAACACAGAAGCTGCAATCAACACAGCTCTTAACTTCCTTTTCTCCTTTGAGAAAGATGTCTGACATTATACCAAATGCTCTTGCTATCTCTACTAAAGACAAAATAACACTGGCCTTTCATCAGAGAGCGTCATGTCTCTAAGACTTATATCTCTGGGACTACCTGAAACTACCACCTTAACTAATAATGCTCCTGCTAAAGAAATCACAGCCCCTAGACTTGTAAAAGGTGAAAACCTGTATCACCCAATGATGTTAATATCAGTAGCATCCAAACTTGTGCCAACCAAGTCAGCTTACTTTAATGAAGGTGTTATCTCAGGAAGGCAAAATACTAAAAGTCAAACTGTCTCAAAGGCTCTACCCCTGGTCTAGTTTGTTCTCCAAGCTGATTCCACTAGCTCTTCAGACAATATTGCAGATGTCAAATATAACACATCAACTACTTTTGTTACCCGGGACAAAATTTTTTATATTGATGCCTCTGGCAATTAAAATTCAGAACCTGAGAAAATGATCACCAAGTCTTCTACCTTTTTTTTCCTAATGAATATAGTGATCCAAATTTCTATTATAAAAGAAATATCGGAAGCTTCTTCAATGAAAAACACAGCTATTGAACTTGGAATGAATCACCTTACAGATGTCAATGTAATAATAGGAAATGATCCAGTTATCCAGATGGAAACGAACTCTATACACGATGCTGACCCTTATCTTCTGAATAAAAATCTCATCACTGATGAT